TCTTCCATTCTCCTCTAACGTTCATCTGCTCAAGCGCGTAGTTTAAGTAGATAAAGAGAAATAAAAGTTCAGTCAGGATAAATTGGTTAAACCGCCAGTCCCACTTAATCAGACCGTATCTACGTCTTGAGGACGGGTAATGAGCTAATATATATATATATCTTATATACATATACTATATATATATTTATCCATATATACACTATTTGTGCTGTGTGTGTGTCTGGTGTGTGTGTCGGTTGTGTGTGTTCGTGTGTGTTGTGTGTGTTGTGTTGTCGTGCTGTATGTCGGTGTTGTGGTGCTGTGTACGTGTAATTGTGTGTGTTGTGTTGTGTGTGCTGTGTGGTCGTGTGTGTGTGCGTGTGTGCGGTGTGTGTCTGTGTGGTTCGTGTGTGTGTGTGTTGTGTGTGTGTGTGTGTGAGTGTGTGTTGTGCGTGTGAACTGTGTGTTGCGTGTGTATGTGTGTGTGTGTGTGTGTGCTGCTGTATGTGTGTAGTGTGTGATGCCCCCGCGGCTATCCTACGTGTGTTGCGGTGTGCGTGCCCGTAATGTCGTGGTGTTGTTGTTGTTGCGTGGCTGTGACGTGTTTTTAGCTGTGTACTGTGCGCGTCGCCGTAGGTTGTTGTGTGTTTCGAGTTGGATGTGTTGGTTGTTGTGTGCGCGCGACGTTAGTCCTCGTTAGTACGTGTGTGCGCGGCGGCGGGGTGTGTGAATGGTGTGTGTGGTGCTGTCGGGTCGATCTGAGTAATGTGGCCTGGTAGTGTGCTGCGTGTTGTAATGTGTTTGTGTGTCGGTGTAAGAGTGAGCTAGTCTGTTGGAAGTGAGTGTTGCGTGTCTACGTGATAGTAATACGTGGTGTGTGTGTGTGTGTGGATGCGTTTTGTTGTGCTGTAAAGTGTTTGAGATAGTATTGTGTTGATGTTCCTGGTATGTTGCTTGTTTAGTTGTTGTGCCGTGGCTGTATGACTTGCCTGCTGCTGTGTTTTGCTGTATATGTTTGTGCTTGCTGTAGTATGAATTGTCTGAAAACGTATGATGTTGGCTGCTAGATGGCTGTGTGACAAGCATGTTCATGGTAAGGTATAGTGAAGTGGCGTAGTTAAGATGTATTGATGATTTATGTGTGTAGTGTGTGTGTGTTAAGTTCGTTATTGTGCTGTGTCCGAGGTCGTGTGTTCCAATCAGTTCGAGTATTGTTTTTTGTTTTTTTGTGTTTGTCAGATAGGGTGTGTGGAATGGCTGCTCGCGTTGGGCTGCTGTTGTAGTGAGTGGTCGGAAGTGTGTTTGCGGATTATTTGGCGGTCGGTCTTTGATTTTCTAGGATCTACGTTGCGTACTCCCGCTCCCCACCGTCGATTAATCGAATTAGCCGCCCATCCGATAAACTAATATTTACTTCGACCTCTGTTATGAGGTACCGGCAGTATCGGCTCGTTTTGAGGCAGTATAGTTTACCCTGACTAAACTTCTATCATGTGACTTTCCGTTCTTGAAATCATATGCTCGTCATGTCTTAAGTTCCTATCTGAGCGCTCTAACTGTCGCTTATACGGTTTTACGCTTATACGCTACATTATTAGTTATAAATTATTATCTATTATAATTAGTAGATAATTTAAATATATGCACGATGTTAGAATTAGCAAAGACGAGCGTAGGTCTCAATATTACACATGGCAAGGGGCGTATCATCTTTGATGAGCACTTTATATGCGCATGTTAGCGGTGTGGTTGTGTGTGTGTGTGTTGTGTAGTGTAGTTGTGTGTGGTGGTTGTTGGCCTGGTGTTGAATGTAGATCTGTTGCGTGTATTCAGAGTAGGGCTGTTTACTCACTGACTAATGGTGCTTGGGTTATTGGCTGTGCCACGAGATTTTAAGACAGCAGTGTTTAACGAGCAGTGGTTTATGACGAGTAACAAGCGTCGTATATTCAATCATGAATTATAGTATGCTATACGCGTTCACAAATGGTATCAATCTAGGTTAGCGCGCTACATTAGGCTCACACATCTGGCTCAACGAAGCTCTTTTCAAGCAAACGACACCTAATACGAAAATAAATCACGCGCTTATAGCGAACATTGTATGGTGGCCGTGATAGACGACCATGCATCTGGTGAAAATAGGGTCGGTAGTGAGAATAGAGATTAGCGTAATAATTAAAATTACTAATTACGTAGATTAATAACAATTAAAGACTTAATTAGATCGATTTAGTATGGAAGCATTTTTTGTGTTAGTTTTTTTCCTGCTTTTTATTATTTTTTTTCGCTGCAAAACATCGTACAGGCAAAGCGTGTCGGTTTTCGTCAGGAATATAAATTTATTTTTTTTCAGGTGGCCGGAAGTTTAAGATATAGGTGATAGTGGAGGTAACTGTTCATCAGCAAGGCTTGAAATGCCAGGAGCCAGAACTAGATGGCAAGCAATAATGCATACTTGGCAGTTGGGCATGTACGCGTTTTTTTTAGAAATCTATTAGGTAGCCTATTGTGGGGGGGCAGAAACTACAGATCTATGACATTTCGCTTTTCAAAATGATGAATGGAACGCATAGGCCAGCCGGTTTCTACAGTGGCATAGCGCCGTGAACAGGTTATCCGTGGTCGTATACCGCTAAATTTAGCGAGACGAGTTCGAAGAGTTTTGCTTAGTGTGTCTAGCATTGCACATTGTCGCGATAACTCCGCCTCGAAGCCAAAAAAATATCGCCAGCAAATCTTAAGTCTATTGAGGCCTCGACCATGGTAAGGGATCGTGGGCGTTTTCTGCGTCTTTCTGTGGGTAAAGTACGTACCCTTCTAAATCAGCATAGAGTCGAGTGAAGCCGGGAGTGATGTAAGACTCGCGGCTCTGCGGTTTAAGTTAGATGTAATCCGTGGTCAATAGGAAGGTTGTAGGACCTGGCTGGAATGAGCGTTAATAGATCATCGGAACGTTCAGCGGATGAGGCGGATGGCGCCGTAATGAGCTATAGTATTGAGGCGGAGGCAGTGGGAACCCGAGCGGCTGAGGCGAATTAAGGGAAGTGCGAACGAGAATCGAAGCTGCGGGAACGAGTCAAAGCAAGAGCCGGCCGGCGGGAGAAGGAGTGTTGCGTGTGCGGGAGCGGAA